CTGGCTTTGAACTTGCAATCCTCCTGTCTCATCCTCCAGAGCTGCTGGGATTACAGGCGTGCACCACTGTGCCTAGCTTGGAATATCTTATTATAGGAGTTCCATGTGTATTGCTCACAGAGAACAATCCACAGGAGTAACTACGCAAGAGATTACATATGCAAGAAAACTCTCCACTCAGTTTAAATGAATGAATTAATTGGATGTTGTTGGAAACATACATGATATTAATCAGATACCTTGTTTCAGAATACCCAAGTCTTTCAGGCACACCTATGACTTCCAGGCATTGTCCTCATGGTTACTTTTCCTGGCCATAGGGCTGATTAATGGAAGTTATTTTTTTTTTTTACATTTTTATTGTTGGTTGTTCAAAACATTACATAGTTCTTGAATATCATATTTCATACATTTGATTCAAATGGGTTATGAACTCCCATTTTTACCCCATATACAGATTGCAGAATCACATCAGTTACACATCCACTGTTTTACATATTGCCATACTAGTGTCTGTTGTATTCTGCTGCCTTTCCTATCCTCTATATGTGTACGGACACTTCATCTCACAGGTCCTACTACCAATGAAAAACTTTCATAGACTGAGGCCAGTTAGGGCAGAATCTGGCTCTATTCTCTGCTGTATTCTCAGGGCCAAAACAATGTATGGCAAATAAAAGATGCCCAATAAATTGGTGTCCAATGTCTCTTGAAACTTTCTTAGAGGCACATTTCACTGGCTGGGAGAGAAGCCTAGAAGAGACAGGAAACGTACATATCTAGTGTTTAATCTCTGCAGGATATTGCAGCTTTCATTAGCTACTAACCACTTTACAACATGGGTAAATACAGTCCCCTTCAGAACTGTTCCACAGGTCAAGGACATTAGTGTAAATCAATCAGAAACAAATAAATTCTGGAAAACCATCCTGGGCTGTAATCTTACCTTTGAGGAAAGACAGTCTAAATCTAGACATGCTGTTTTTCAACTTGATTATACYAAGCACTGTAACAATTGATACTTTACAAGTTTTCTGCAATGGGAAAAGTAACCAGTCTTGATTTACTTGTATCTATTTTGTGAGCTGATGAGGTGATAATTTTTTGGTACTTTCTGTTTCAGAGTTCAATTCCTGAGGCCCAGTGAAAAATGCACAGTAGTAGTTTTCAATGATTTGTAAAAAGTTAAGATGCTTTTCAGATTATACAGAACATATATTATACACACAATATATGTATGTGTATGTGTTTATATATAGACATTTATGTATATATACACTTCTATATGCATGCTTGGGCATGCAGACACACACAGAGTAAAAACAATGCAAATTTTAGAGCCATACAGATTTCAGTTCAAATTTTAGCTTTGCCATTTGTGAACTGTGGCCCTGGACAAGTTCCTTAACCTTGCTAAATATGTTTCCCTTCTATAAAAACTCATTAATAATATTTTCCCCAAGGAATGCTTATGAGCATTACTCAATGCTGATAGATAAAATAATTTTGAGATAGACCTGAAATGAATTCTGGACCCATTGCTTAATTTAGACAAGATATATAATGTTTGCAGGTTGTTTCCTTCTCTGCAAAGTGGAATTTATAAAGAGGGTACCTAAAAAGATTATTGGGAGGATGAATTAAATCTGTATAACATGTTTAGTACAATGATCAATATACAGTATGGGCCCAATACATGTGAGCTATTACTAGTGGCACAATAATTACTATTTTTACACAAAAAGCAGCACTTAATAAGTGTTGATGCATCCATCTTCTCTACTTCTGTTTCCCACTGAGAAATATTCAAAAATTGGACAACTGAGTTAAGGGCAAGACATATCTTCATAAATTTTGTCATATTGCTCACTATAAAGCCTGTAGTGAACTTAGGTCTCTAATAACATGCAGAGTCTATCAATTTTACTACAACCCTCACCAATAGTTTTTTCTRTCATTTTAATAGTGGAAATATAGTATCTCAAGATTACTTTCATTTATTACCATGGGAGTGAGCATTTCCCCATCTGTTTTGTTTACCATTTGGTTATCTTATACTGTGAATGATTTATTTCTATTTTTGCCTATTTATCAACTCGAATCTTGGTGGTTTTCTTAAAAATTTGAATCAACTTTTTATGTTACTATCATATTTAATGCAGATACTTTCTCAGGAAGCTGGACCCAGAACCATATGGCACAGATGAGAGACCAGGGGAAAGTTCTGTGTATTCAGGTGAATTTCTGTGGGGGTGGAAAGGGGTTGCTGTCTCCTGCAGGGGAACTCAACTACTCTCATGGCTTTAGTATCAATCTCTGAATATCTCTGGACCTCCATGACTTTCCAGTCCTATATTCTAATTATGAAGTGTTTCTTCTTAGTTGTCTTGTAGATACCTCAAGTCTATCACAGGTACAACTAAGTTCATCAGATGTCCCCCATCTTGCTAACTTTCCAAACTTCCCCATTTGTTTCCTTATTGTCCTAGCCAAGAGATCTCGAAGCTGTTTCACAATAGAGTAAAAAGGCCCCCAGGGTCTCTCAGACAGGCCTGTTGAACTGTCTCTGAAATCACACTCATGAATTGTAAGTCATGTGTCCTAATCTTTTATTTGGAAAATATGATGATCATACATATCAAGAGAATGAGAAGAACAGCCACGTTGACTTGTTACCTCAAGCCCTTTATGCATGTCAGTATCTGCTACTAAGACCCGTGCATGTCAGCCTGAAGCAGGTGAGCAGAACAATCCCACGGAGACTGGCATCCTGACATGGGTATTTGATAGGAGAGCCAGAATTAAACAGAGAAAAAGAAAGTACTAAAATCATTGTTTTGGGCACTTGGCCCAACCATCTGCTTTCCTTAAATTATTTTTGTATTTTAATGATGACATCTATCAAATTGTTTAGGTAACTATTAATAGTTTAATAGTTATAATGTTGATTTTTGTCTTAGCATGTGGCTTTTTCTGTCAATGCCTCATTTAGGATGTGAGCATCATGAAATCATAAAATGTGTTCCAGCCTTCCAATACCTAGCCCAGTGGCCTTTTCCATCTATGTGCAAATTCAGTTCCCTCAAAAGTCAACTGAAGTGGGCACCTAGAGCTGCTACAGAGAAAACACAACAAGGAAAGCATTGGGTCAAATATAAATGGTCAAAATTCCCTTGAATGAAAATTAAAAATGAATTATATCACTATTTCTAAGAATATAGAARCCTAGTTGATAGCATCCTGAAAGGAAGCTTCCTTCCTCTTATTTTCTCAATTTCTGCAAATATACAATGCATCAATGAAGAAGCTCCACCTCTTCAGAAACAAGAGCACTTTCAATAACACATATTAAAATAAACACAGTTTCTTAGTGCCTCAGGAATGCATGTGTTGAAGTCAAACTCCATTGCCTTTCTGAAGTTCCTCAGACTTCCAAGTGTGGTTGTGTGCAGTATATGAACATATGTGTGGATAGAGGTACATGGGGGTGGACACACTGCTCTCAGGAAGACACACTTTTTATACTGTTTTGGGAAATAATGAAGCCTATTTTTCTAAAGGCAGAGTATGACAGTCAGGCTGGTGGTGCTCACCTGGAATCCCAGACACTCAGGAGGCTGAGGCAGGAGGATTTTGAGTTCAGGTAATCTAGCAAGACTACATCTCAAAATAAAAAAATAAAACGGGCTGGGGATGTGATTCTGTGGTAGAGCACCCTTGGGTTCCGTCACCAGTACCAAAATCAATCAATAAAATAAAATAATAATCCTAAAGGCAGAGTATGACGGTATGAATTCATATCCTCAAACCTCAAATTTCACTCCTCCTCCAGAGTCATGTCTAGGGAAAAAGAATAATGACAGAGATTTGGGCCCAGTATACTCCAATTCGTTCTACAATGATTAGGGATTCCCAATTTGAAGTGTGTCCTGGAAGGACTTTTGGAAGTGTGTCCTTTGAAGGACTTTTGCAAGTAGGAGAGGATATCTGGAAAGAATTGAAAATCCAGAACTCACATCACCAGTTGGTTGATTACAAACAAAACTACTTTCTAAAATTCCACCTGACACCACACATTGTGTGGCCTGAGAGTGATGACCTGAATTCCCTTCCACAATTACCTAGAGAAGGCCTTGGATGTGTCTAATCCAAGTCTGGTGAGAGAAGTACTTTCAATTCATTCCAGGATTTATCTTGTTCTTCCCCCAGCAGAAAAAAAAAAAAAAAAAAAACTGGTTAATTTGCAACCTAGGTAATTACCCACTTCTTTTGCTAGTAACAAATCCCTCATCTACATTTTATTGTAAGGTCAATAGTGAAATTCCGTAGAAACTTCCTCCTTACAACATCACGCACAAGGAGATCCACCCACTGCCGCCAACCCAGAGCGTGCAAGTCGCGTTCACCCTCACAAATCTCTCTTTGGCAAGTTCCTTGAGCTCCCGCCCTGGGGGGTTTGGTGCAAACCGGCATCAGAGGAAGCAGCTGCCAGGATTCCGCTCTTGATAGCACCCCTGCCCTATTATTTCACCTGCCTGAAAAGGCCCGGTGCCTAGACCACCAAAGAGACACCTGAGTACCAGCGCAGCGAGGCCACGCAGCCCACATAGCGCCCGGACCCCGCGCGCCAGAGCACGGCCCACGTGTCCCGAGCCCGGGCAGGACAGTCGCGAGGGACCCACTGGAAACACACGGAAGAATGCGCCACCACCCTGCGGGATCCCAGACTCGCGTCCGAGTCTGTCTGGGATACCAGGTCTGCAGAGCACCAACCAGGCATTCCAAGAGTCCTTCGGAGAGAAACGCCGCGCAGACTTCCTTTGCCCGACCCTCAGCCCCCGGAGCATCTGCCCGGAGCTCGCTGATCCGCGTCGCGCAGCCCTGGACAGGTGCCCCACGCGAGCTCCTACCTACCCCGCGCACGCCTGGAGCTAGGGGAGCCGCGCACCCCGGGCTGCTGCTGGACCCACGCCCAGGAAAAGAGGAAGGAAGTTCTGTACCTGATCCTCTCCTTCTCTGCTCTTTGTAGTTCCTCATTTCTTTCCAGCACCTGAAGGATCTTCCTGGCTTCTTCCTCACTTAAAAAACTGAAATCGAACCCCTGAGGAACTTTCGTCATTTTCTCTACTGTGTGTGGCTTACGCTTAAGCTCCCTGGCGCCTCCTCTTACGATGGCATTTTTCAAGATCTGCACAAGACTGGCTTCACGAACTTGATCCGATAGTCAATAAGTCCGCCCCTTGGAAAATCTACAGCCGCAAACCTAGGGAACGGCCCACACAAACAGGGATCATTTTGACAACACCTTAATGACAGGTTTCTCTCGACCTGTCCAACCAAGATGCAAAGTAAACGACTCAAGGAGAGAAGGAGCCAATCCCATTTCGAGGGAGGCGGGCCCGGCTTCGTCTCCTCCCCCCACCCCCACCTGCACTCTGACTTGGTAGGCAAACAAGCCTTCATAATTCTGCCTAAGTGAGGCCTAGGCTGAAGTGTTGGCCCCAGAGTATTTGCTTTGGTGGTTGCTCTTTGCTCTAAGAACTTGAGCTTGACTCGTAGAAGGAGTAGAAGGAAAGAGATCCATAACTAAATCTCCCTTTCAATAATTAAGAGCTCTTAGATAATAGAATTGCAGGTAGAAGCTTTAGAACTGGTGGAAGGGTTTCTCTATTTGAGAGACCAGGAAGGGATAACCTAACATTAACAGCCATTTGTGGACAGACCTGGCAGAAGGGCTGAAATTTAGGGTATCCTTGATAACGAATATTTCCAAACTTGTCATCTCTCGTAACCCACCACAGCCACTTCATTGCCCCCACGGAAGTCATCCTCAGATTTTGGAAATTCAGCAAACAAAAATCCCGTTTATGTTATTTTGGAAGACTGCGCTGGCTGGGGAAAGAGATGGCGAAAAGCTCCTCTGACTGAAGCGAAATGTAATCCTGTGAAACCTCAGGAATAGCTTTCCTAGAAAGTAAATTATTCTGATATAGTAAAGTATGATGGAAATGTCCATAGACATTTGTGTGTGTGTGTGTGTTTTTCTTGTGTGTGTGTACACACACACACACACACACATATGTATGTATGTGTGTATATATATATTAAATTGTCAAGGCTTTTCGGAAAGTATGCTTCTTCTTTTGACTTCACTTCCTACATAAAAACGAATTTGTCAGATAGACTTTCCTGCCCCAATAGCTTGAATTTGGTCACCTTATGATGTGGTGATGATTGCTAACATTAAAATGCAGGTCCAGGGGCTGGGCTTGTGGCTCAGTGATAGAGCACTCGCCTAGCATGCAGGAGGCACTGGGTTCGATCCTCAGCACCACGTAAATGTAAAATAAAGATATTGTGTCCACCTAAAACTTAAGAATAAGCATTAAAATAATAAAATGTATGTCCAAATGTATCATCTCTTTACATGGTAAATAAACCCAATAAAGATTTTTATATCTGACCACGKCACAGTGGTGCATGCCTGTAATCCCAGGCTGAGGCAGAGGATGGGAAGTTTGAGGCCAGCCTCAGCAACTCAGTGAGACCCTTTAAAAGGGCTGGGGATATAGCTCAGTGGTAGAGTGCTCCTGGGCTCAATGCATAGCACCGGTCTCTCCCACTAAGATTTTATATCAGTTAACAAGAATCTGAAATCAAAAATAACTCTTAATYATTATTTAAAACATGTCTGGGAAATTAGCCATTTAAATAACTTTCTGTGGGTATAATAATTATGTACATTAGTGTCATACAATACAGAGTTCCTTTATAAATTGTTTATATGGAGGGAGTATCTTGGGGCAAGAAAGACGGTGGAATGAGATGGATGTCATTACCCTGGGTGCATGAATGATTGACTGCACATATGGTKCGAAGCTGTATCATGTACAACCAGAGAAATGAAAAGGGATGCTGCAATTGTGTACAACGAATCAAAATGCATTTTGCTGTCATATATACCTAATTAAAAAAAATAAAATTGTTTATATGTTAATGATGGTGGTTTGAGAGTGTGTCTTGTATATAGTGTCCTATTTTTCTAGTGTGTTCATTTATTCATTTATTGGGCATATACATGGGGCTTTTAAATATGAGAACCCAAGAGTTTTTACTCTGTTCCCAATGTATCAGTGTTGATAGTATATATTGGTTAGTTTCAACCAACATATTCTGGTGTTTCTTACATGAAGGTATTGAATACTCCAATTACCACTGAGCTACATCCCCACCCCTTTTTGTATTTTATTTTGAGACAGCATCATGCCAAATTGCTTAGGGCCTTACCAAATTGCTAAGGCTGACCTTGAACTTGCAATCCTCTTGCCTCAGCCTCCAAAGTTGCTGGGATTTCAGGCATGGGATGCCAGCCCTGCTCATTGTCTTTAGAAAGTTTATAATATAAATAATATTAAGTGGATAAGAAAACATGAGTAGAAATATAACTACATAGTAAAAAGAGTCCATGAACATGAATCTAGTTCTAGCTAAGTAGATCAGAGAAGAGGGTAGACTATTTAGGTTGCAACATGAAGGGTCAGATATCAATAGGAAAAAATAGAGGGCGATGAGAGAAGACGTGCAAGTCTATTCTAGGCAAGGGGAACATTGGATGACCGATGTACACTCTAGGAATCTTCCTATTCCATCATCTTTGATTAATGGTCGAGTGAGCAAAAATTTGGATGATAGAAAATTTAGGTACATATTCAGGGATTAGTGATGATCTGTTTTGGCTAGAACATACATTCTCAATAGGGGCAAAATCTTACTCTTTTTAATGTATAGATCACAGATAAACATACAATACCTAGACAGATATACAGTATATCTGTGATATTAACATTTCATGAATGGAGCAATTAATTAAAAAAAAAACTCCAAAAAGACTCCATGTGGGGTGGGTACAGTAATGAAAAATAATGTTTTGAGGCAGTAGGCTAGCATGCATGGTACATAAGGAGGAAAAAGGCTGAGATCTTATTGTGAATACCATGCTAAAGATTCTGGACTTCATTGTGTGAGCAATGAGGAACCAATACAGGTTTTGAGGGGTGACAACTATACATTTAAAATGGAACTTTGGGAAGATAACTCTGATAGTAGGAGACAAGGAAGAGTAGAGGGAAGAAAGCAGCAAAGAAACCATTGTATTATGCTGATGCTGGAGAAAGGGGGAGGAGGGCCTAAATAAAGCAGTGGCGGTGATAGCAGAAAAGAGGGCTGGAGTCCAAGGATATGAGCTGGAATTAATAACTTGTTAGATAGGGAGTTAAGAAAGAAAAATTCAGTCTGGTGTGAAGGCTCATGCCTGTAATCCTAAATGAATCAGGGAACTGCAGTAGGAGATCCCAAAGTTCAAGGCCAGCCTGGGAAACTTAGCAAGACCCTGTTTTAAAATAAAAATAAAAAGGACCAAGGATATAGCTCAGTGGTTGCCTGCCGCTAAGTACAATCCTCACCATACTCCCCATCCCMCCAAGAAAGATTCACAAAGATGATGCAAGATTTCACAAGTGTTTGAAAGGAAATTAGTCTATTTGATGGTACCAGAAACGAACTTTAGAAAGAGATCAGGTGTTCAGTTTTAGACACAAGGAGTGCCTGCAATTCCTTCATGTGGGGATACCCAACAAATATGATAAATGTAGAACCAGAATTTTCGAAGCAGGGATGGAGAAGTAGATTTGGAAGTCATCTGCTTGAAGATGATTGCCAAAACCCTGGACTAGATAACATGTTTGCAGCAAAGGATGGACAGGGAGCAGAGGCTGAGGTCAGAACTTTGAATGACCAAGCCCATCCCACCAAGCACATCAGCACTGAGTCATGCTTCCACCCTGGGTTGTGGCACAATAGAGCACACTATTAAGAAATTTTTATGCTGACATTTTATATTGAGAAATTTACAAGGCTTTGGGGATTGTCCTGGAAAACATATAGATTAGTTTCATTGGGATTATAATCACAGTACTTTCAAAATAAAAATAATTGTCAAAGTTTGTTTTAGGGGCTTGTGCAGGCAGCAGTAAGCAATAATTTTCCATCTCAGTATCTGGTAACCCTGGTAATCTCTTCCCAGGTTCTCAACTAAAGAGATGCTCATCAGTTTGTTTTTAAACAAGCTCAATAGAAAAGAATACTCTTTAGAAATCTCCCATAGTCTTATTTTCTCCAGGCTCTTGTTGGTCACATCCCCAGCAGAGTTTTGTTTCTTGCTTTACAACCACCCAGCCAAGAGAAAACATGATCACAACACTTACTTGAATATCTAAACTTTTGCCATTCAAAGTCACCTATGACCCTAGCAGGCCATTGAAAAGCAGCTCAATAGATTCTGTTTTCACAGAAGTGTCTTTGTAGCACGTTTTGGCTCTTCTCCCTGGACAATCCAGATGTCTTCCAATAATAGGTCATAGGGTGTGTTTGGTGGTAGCCTTTAGTTAAACAAGCAAATTCTTGTAACTTATTAACTTGATTGATTTTGGTAACTGACCTTTATTAGTAAACAAGAGATGTAAAACTCAGAAAAGAGTTTGCACAGTTGTTCATTTCGTTTTCATTGTTCTAACTATTCAGTGAATAGCTTTGCATATTTAGATTAGAACTAGTTTTTTAGTTCCGTTTGAGGATTCAGTTCTATATCCACAATTATGAGAGTAGAGTCCATAAAAATATCAGATCATAATTAATTTTAGCTTTTTAAAAAACTTTTGAAAGGAAGATCATAACAGAATCAACCTTATGAGTATTGTAAAAATTCAATGAGATGGTACAAATAAAGCAATTAATAAGTGTTCAATAAAGGGTACCGACTAATATTATTTGCTTATAAAGCAGCCTACAATTATGAAAATATTATTTTCTTTGATTATAAAAGTGATACCTGTTTGTTGGGCTAAGAAAAAATCTCTCTCTCTTTCTCTCTCTCTCTCTCTCACTCTCTCTCTCTCTCTCTCTCTCTCTCTCTCTCTATATATATATATCTCAGATTGATGAAGCCCAATTCTGAGGTTTATTACTGACAAACTTTAATGGAAAAAATGTGTCTTAGTTCTGTAGCTAAATAGCCTTACTAGTGTGACCCTTCCAAATCTCACCCTGAGGTAGAACACCAAA